TTTTACACTTTCAAAAATTGGTTTTTAAAATTAATTTTTCCTACGGCTGAAAAATAAACTTATGCTCTATAATTAGAAATATTAAAAAATAAAGAAACTTATTATATTATTGTAATATATATATATATATATATATATATATGTGTGTGTGTGTGTGTGTGTGTGTGTGTGTGTGTGTGTGTGTTTGTGTGTGTGTGTGTGTGTGTGTGTGTGTGTGTGTGGGGACAAATATTTTCATACACAAAATTTAAATTTAATATATTTTTAAAAAAAAAATAAGTATGTGGCTGTTGAATATATATATAATAAAAGTCAGTATGATATATATAATAAAAGTTAGAGTTTATTTCATCTTAATAATATATGTAATAAAAGTCAGTATGATGAGTATGTTAATATTAAAAAGTCAATACATATTATTAAAATAAAATTTTAATTTTAGTTAAAAAATTAATCCAATTTGATCTGCAATAGATAACATTTTTGCATTTTATAAAATTCCATTCAGCACTTGAAGAGTCATGTAATGGAACCTTCTATGAGATGTCACCACATGATGCCTATGCAAGTGTTATATATATCAACTTGATGCTAATTTGAGTGTTGGATTAACTTGGTAACTTGTTTAAATAAGTTGTTGACTCATTTATAGAATTGCATTCGTGGGATTGAGTTGAAACAACTCCAAATCCTGTTGAACAGGTATCGATCTTGCAAAAATTTTAGTGCACATGCGCACAAATTTTTTAAATTTGATTAATTCATGTAGGTTGAGTTTGCATGTTATCTTACATCAAAATTAGTGCTAATTTAAATTTAATCGAGTTTAGAACCGCTTCACATTGATTTAGTTGCATATATAACAAATTCAACAGGTTACTTAGACTAATTACTTGACCTGTTAACTGGTCAAACCAAACGATTCTAGTTATAACACTAAAGTATAAGAGATGTGTGCAATAAGGAAAATAAAATAACACTATATATGTTTTATGATTAAAATTAATGTTATATTTCATTAATATATATTAACTTTTAGTACTAATATGTTGATTTTTAATATAATTTTTAGTATAAAATTGCTGAAATAAACTATAATTTCAATTAAAAAATAACACTAATTATAATATTACAGATATTTAGTATATATTTTTTTAAATCAAATATACTTCTCATGCTATATAGCAATACCTTATAGAAGAAACTATTCCACTTGAATTCTTGTAAGGAACCACATGCACTAGCACCTTTTCATGAGGTGCTGCAACATAATATTAAAACATTATGTTTTTTCTTTTAAGCAGATGACCCTATTAATTCAAGGTGAAACCTTTTGCATACATAGATTATCTCTTACGCGAAGTTAATCTATCTTTAATTAATTTTTTAACATATTTTTACAATATTTTTTGTCAGTATAAATTTGTCGATCTATCTTAAGAATTGATTTGTCTTTAAGTAAAATTTTATAAAATATTTTTAATTAGCAGGGTGGATTCATGGCCCTAACAAAAATAAAATATTTGACAAATATATACATTTTGTAATAATAGAGTTATTAGACAAATTTATACTACATTTAGAAAAAAATAAAAAGTTCCTTTTAAAAGAGAAATAAAATATATCCTAAATTTTTTTGTTTTAAATTTTTTATATAATTTATTGTTTTAAAATCAAGCAGTTAAAATGAAAATATTAACAATAAAAGTATAAATTAAAAAATAATTAATTGACTTTTTGTGTATAAATTGTTATTTATGTTAAAAATTAATTAAAACTTCAGTTTTGATAAAATTATTAATGATGTCACAAATTTTTTTTAAAAATAAAGCTTTAAGTAGATGTAAATTTTGTATTTAATTTTGTTGTTACTTTTGAATTAAAGATATTAGAATAATAAATTTTATGCATGTATATTTGTGTGTATGTGACTACTAGTTTATATAACTTTTTGAATTTTAACGATATCATCAATTAATTATTTTAATACCTTCAAAATACCCAATCAAATTTCGTGAGGAATTTTAAAAATTTCCAAATGATTTATTTATCAAATTCTTGATGCGTAGAAATACTTGAATAGGGATTAGTTAGTTTGTTATGTAATTCTTACGCACAATTTAAGAAATTGTCTTCGTTGCTATTTTATTTTTAATCATAAAATTATTATCTAGTGTTTAGGTTATTTCTTATTTTAAAAATAATTGATTTTTTAATTTTATTATTTCTTTTTACAAATTTTTTAAAATAAAAACTGAAATAAAATAAAATACTAATTTCATAATTAAAAAGTAAAATAAAATGTCAGATTTGAGAGGCTCGTGGCTAATATTTTAAGAATTCTTTTCCTTTTCTCTTGAGAGAAGCTAAAAGATGCGCCGTTAGGGTTTCTTTCCCTAGCCACCCTTAGAGGGTCGTGAGTCTACAACGCTCAGGGTTCATATATGCGGTGTTCACAAGGAAGAGTTTCTTTGCATTGTCTCCGTTACTAGTGGAGCTGAAAGAATAGAACGTCACGAAGCATAGAAGAGATTCACAAAAGAACTGAATTTGATGGATCGGAGCACAAAGAATGTCAAGACAGATGCATAGAGCGCAATGGAGATGAAAATCTTGAACATACATGAGGACAAAAATCTGGAGCTTTGAAAGGAAATTAGGTATCTTCTATACCTAGTTTCCCTAATTCTTGCCACTTATAAAGATATTATTTTAGAGTCAAATAACCTGGATACTAGATATAAACCTTAATGATGAAGATACAATGAAATATGTGTTGGATGACCTCAATATTCTTTCTGAAGACAAAGATAATTCTGATTTACCTATAAATAATACAAATTTTTTGCCCTAATATCAAAATCCCTATTATGAGGATTGGTGTTCTCCCCAAAAGTTCACACTTATTATTAAGTTCCTAGGAATGTCAATTAGCATTAACTATTTAAACTAAAAATTAGGTAACATTTGAGGAAAAATAGGGCCTTAAAAATTCTTGTTTTAAATAACAATTTTTTCCTAGTCAAGTTTGAAAACATAGAGGGTTATAAGCAAGTCCTAAGGCCTTGGCTAATATTGGATCATTACCTTTTAGTTTAGAGATGGAGATTGATAAGTGTGAATTTGTGCATGTTTTTATAGTCTAAATATTTATGAGTGACTATTATTTTATCATATTTTTACACTAATTTCTATGAATATTGTGGATTTTAATATGAGAGGGCCAAAACTAGGTTTTGGATGCATTTAGGGCATTTCAGGTCCAAATTAGAAGAAAAATTATGTTTTGTAGCAAGTAGCATGCCCATGGCATAGCAACAAACACGAACATGCTTCAATACACAAGCACAGCCGTGCTTATGGTGATGCACAGCTGTACTTACTTGTGTGAAGTCCAAATCTAAAATTTTTTTAGGGTTTTCAAACCGTATTAAAGAGACAGAAGGGGCAGTGAGTAAGGCATCCTTTTGATATAATTCTTTCTACACCTTTTACACATCTCTTTTATATCCTCAACCTTGGTATTGGCCAATCGTCGATGATTGTTGGAGCTTTAGGAGCACAACTTGGGATCAAGAACTCTTCTCATCTCTTCTCCATTGGATATGCCTATAATTTGTATTTACTTTTCAAGTTCTATGAATTTGTTTAATATTGTTTTTATTTTCTTTTATATTATGTCTAGCTAAATCTGTAGTTATAGCTGTGGTGGATTCTTTGCAGGACTTTATGGAATCTTTATAATTAATAATAATTTCATATTTCCTTTTCTTGATTAGTGTTTACCCTATTGCACTATACTTGTGTGTTCATAATCGACAACTCTTAAACATATCATAATTAATTATATTGTAAACAATTGTATCACATATAGTTAATGGATCTATAGGGTAAAACAAAACAAAGAATTGGTGGACCAAACTTAGTTATTCTCTTTCAATTGTTATTAAATTAATAGATCATAAGCTCTTTATGCTTTCTCTTTCTTCTACCTTACATGATCATTAGGGGTGGTAGTTTAGAGAATAGACTGTTAATATTGTATGATCATTAGGTGTTAATAGATTTAGTATAAATGAATAACAATCTTAGGAAAATTGAAATTAAAATTAATCTAAAAGAGAACATAAAGAATTATAAAGGTGAAACCATACATCCTAGGTTCTTCTCAATTAGTTTATTATTAGAGGTTGTGTTATTTTAATTTATTTAATCTATTTTATTTTTAAATCTTTATTTTATTTAATTTTGCATTCTTTAAGTTCAAACAATTAAAAAAAAATTTGGTAATTGGAAACAATCCTTGTGGGATAATATTTCAAGAACTTATTTTAGAACCATTTATTACTTTTCAACGAATACACTTTCCCATGAACAAAATTTTAGTGTCATTGCCAATGATTGCTTTTTTAATATTAAGAAAATCTCATATTTGATTGATTTAAGCAATTCTTATTTTGCTTTAGTTTAATTTTATTTTGTTTATTTACATTTTTTCTATTTTAGTTATTTTGTTTTATTTGTTTTTATTTTTATTTTCTTTTAGTATATGCTTACTCGTTCTAAGTTTCTTGCAAAATTTGTTTTTGACCCAAAAATTTAAAAGAGTGTAGAAAGAAAAACATGATAGAAATGAGGACAATCCAAGATTATATGACACCCACTTTTAAAGGTAGTACTGAGAGCATGGTAGCCCCTAATTTAGAAGCCAACAATTTTGAATTGAAGTTGACTTTGATTAAATTAGTTTGAAACTCTAGACTATTTGGAGGGCTAGCTGATGAAGACTCAAACCTCCATATAACAAAGTTTCTCAGACTCCCAGACACCATAAAGTACAATGGTGTGACCAAACATGCTATAAGGCTTCATCTTTTTCCATTCCCTGTTACAGAAATGGTGATGCATGGTTCTTCACACTCCCACCAAACTCAATTACAACATAGGAGAGCCTAACTTAGCAATTTTTAGCCAAGTGTTTCCCTCTACCACATTCTGCTAAGCTTATGACATAGATTTCCAACTTTTAACAATATGATTTTGAATCTCTATTTGAAGCATGAGAACAATTCAAAGGGCTTCTGAGAAGGTGCCCACATCATGATTTTCCCATATGAAAATAGATGCAAATTTTCTACAGTAGACTCTTACATTCCAATAAAGTCACAGTTGGTGAAGCAGCTAGAGAAGCCTTCATAAGAAAATAACCAACTGAGGTTTACAGATGACAGCTACCAATTTTCAAAGGCACACATACCCTCATAAAGACAAAAGAAAGTTACTCCAATCTATCAAGCATAAAGCAGCAAACCAATAGCAAATAAGCTAGAGATTATGTCAAAACAGATAGAATTTCTATTAAGGGCATAAGATTCATCAACAAAACTCTCTACAACTCTAGAAATTGAGGAGGCTAACTTCTTGGGCAACAACTATAATTCAAGATGGCATAATAAGCCCACCAATTTGTGGGAGAATGGCTAAGGAGGCCAAAGTTCAAATGTCTATTGTCCTCCCCATATGCAATCTCAGGGAACAAGACCAGTGAGGAGAGAAGTCTCAAACTTTCAATTAGAGCAAAGAATATCAAAACTTGAATCACAAACGGAACAACAAAACTTTCAATTAGAGCAACAAGCCCAAGTAATGGATCAAAAGTTCTCAGATATAAGCTCTAACATGAAATCTCAGTTATAAAATATAAAAGCACAACTTAAACAACTTATTAATCTTTAGAGTCAAAGGACATTGGGAACATTGTCAACTCAAGCAAAACCTAATTTCAGGGACCAGTGCAATGCCATTATTCTTAGAAGTGGGAAGAAAGTGTAAGAATCACAAAAATGAAGCACGTGTATGTGAATGCCCGTGCTTCAAGGTATGCATCTAAAGAAGCATGACTGTGCTATGAGAAGCACGCCTATGACGATGTAATAAGCATGGTTGTGCATACTCACGTGTAAGGTCATGCTTCAAGCTTACTTTAAGGCTAGATGATGAGGAAGTCATTTTTCAAGTTTTCAATTCTTTAAAGTACCCTTCTAGCCAAGAGTCCTGTAATTGTGTGAGTACTACAAATATTGCTCTTCTTCCTTCAATTTTTGAAAAGCATGGAATGTCAAAGAAGAAGATATATAAGGATGAGGAAAGACAAAGGCTCAAACCACCCACTGATAAGCCCCCAAATTTATAGCTTAAAATTTCTTCTCTTTATTTTAATTCTCCTCCTTTCTCATCCTATGATTAACACTTCTAATGTGACAGGTGTTATGGGGGAGAAGTTGTTGGGAAGACAACTATACATTAAGAAAGTAGCCTCTAAGACTCTTGTCTTCTTTCCACCATAATGTAACAAGACCGTTAGCCTCATGACATTAAACAAATGCTTATAGGAGGTAAACTGAGTTGTTTATTTCATTTTCAGTTACCTTTCTTTGCTTATTTTAATTTTATTTTATTATTATTTTTTTAGGATAAAGGATAAGCATACTATGAACTCAAAGGAGTCAAGTTGATAAATGATTATGCACTTTTTTGGACTTGTGTAATACCAATTCAAAGCTCTCAAATAGACACTTTGAAATAGACTTATCAAGAGTCCCTTTCCATTCTATCTTAATTGCCCTCTTCATATATATTTTATTATTCTAAACATTGAGGACAATGTTTTATTTTAAGTATGAGGGGGTTCCCAATAATATGATTGTTATTGCATATTCTTATCAATACTCCTTATCAATCAGAAGTATTTGTAAGACAACTAAGACTTATTGTAGCTTATGCATAAAGAAGTGCCCAGAAAAGGCTTTAAGGTTCACCTTGACTTAGGCTAGAGTTCATCCTGACCAAGGCTCACCTAGGTTCAAGGTCCACCCTAGTCAAGGCTCACTTAGGCTCAGGGTTCACCGTAACTGAGTTTTGTCCCTACCAATGTGTGAAAAGCATCAGAATGATCTTAAGTTTCATCTCAGTCAAGGCACTAGATCCTTTCCTGCTAAGGCTTATCTAAGCTTAAGGTTCACCTTGACCTAGTTTCATCTCGGCCAAGGCTCACTTAAGCTAGGTCCACCCTAACCAATTTTCTTCGCAGCCAAGGTGTGAAGAGCATTAGAATGACATCAAGTTTCATCTTAGCCAAGGCTTAGGATCCATCTTAGCCAAGTCTCACCTAAGCTTAGGGTTCACCCCGACTAAGTTTTATCTTGACCAAGGTGTGGAAAGCATTAGAATGGCTTCAAATTTCATTTTAACCAAGGTTCATAATCCATTCGGTCAAGACTCACCTAGGCTCAGAATTCAGCCTGGCCAAGTTTCATTACAGTCAAGTGTGAAAAACATAAGAATGGCCTCAAGGTTTATCTCAGCCTCAGCTCAAGGTTCACCTTGGTGAAGGCTCAACTAAGCACAAGATTCACCTTAGCTAGTTTTCAATCCAGCCAAGGTGTGCCTATCAAAAGAGCCTCAAGTTTCATCTTGGGTGACACTTACGCTCCATCCTGTTCAAGGCTCACCTAGGCCTAGGGTTCACCTTAGCCAAGGTGTGAAAAGCATTAGAATGGCCTCAAGTTTCATCTTGACCTAGGTTAAGGATCAATCTAGACCAAGGCTTACCTAGGTTTAAGGTTCATCCCAGCTAAGGTGTGCATAGTGTTAGAATAACCTTAAGTTTCATCTCAGCAAAGCTCACCTAAGCTCAAGGTTCAACCTAGTAAGGTTTCATCTAACCAACAGGTAAAGAGCCACAAGTATGCTTATATTCATTTTATACATAATGAAACAAGAAATTTTTTCATAAGTGTTTTTGATATTCAAATCAGAGATCATCTTTGCACTTTGCGTCTAAAGATATGAAAAACATGTAGCCAACATCAAAGACTAGGTGTGAGGAGTACTTAGGGCCTAAAAATATGAATTAAATATAGCCAACATTGAAGACCAAGTGTAAATAGCACTTAAGGCCTAAAGATGTGAAGAATATCTAGCTGATATTGAAGACTATGTGTGAAGAGAACTTAGAGCCAAATGATGCAAAGAGCATCTTGCCAAAATCAAAGACCAAGTGTGAAGTGCGCCTTGTGCCTCAAACTTATAAACCAAACACCTCACTGAAAAGAATTCATATTTCATTCACTTTATCTGAGCTTTCTCACTTCACGACAAACCTAAGTTGGAAGGCAACTAATCCAAAGTCAAACATTTAAGTCCAATTCAGCCTTAACTAATACATCTTAATTGTCACGTATACTCTCATCCAAATTTTAATACTTCTGAAAAGTAACAACTTTTTCAAGCATGTCATGATTCACTGCACATACATGAGATGCATTTTCGTTCATTGATGGTTATAGTGTTAGGTGTATTAAACAACAAATACATCAACACCTTTATAAAAAGAAAAATCCTTTGACCCAGGTACACTCTCTCACAGCTCTATACCTCAACTCTAGCCAAACAATGTAACTTTGACGTTATAGTATTTCTTGTAGAAACATCTTCCATTGGAGCCTTTGAGAGTTTTGGATCACCCCTCAACCACCATAGAGTGTCGTCAATCCAACCTTTCTCTATAGAATAATAGTGAAATTGATAACAAAGTATCTCTTACCACCAAATGTATTACAAATATGAAAAGAGAAAAATAAAATAAAATCATATCACTAAGTTAAAATGAATAGCAAAGCTTTCAAAAATAATTGTGTGAAAATCTTGCATTATTTGCTTTGAATGAATAGAAAAACTTCATTTATTATTTTTATAGTGACAATAAAGGAGAACTCGTATCTCAAAATTACTTTCACTATTGTTATTTATCAATGTTCTTGTTATTCTCAAGGTTGAAAATTTATAAATTAATTTTTTTATCATAGTAGACAAAAATTAGGAAAAAAATGATCGGATTAGGATACTTGTAAAATTTTTTTATCAAAATGAACAATTTATAGTGTATAAACTACAAATCACCCAATGAACAGACACCATTGAATAGGAAAATGACATGTGGCAAGCTAAAACAAGTGACTCTTGATCAACATGCACCACTCAACTAGAAGAAGACAGGTGGCAGACCAAAACAAGTCACTTCTAGTAAGTAGGTGTCACTTAATGGGGTGGGGACACATGGCATGCAAGGAATAATGGCTTATGTTGAACAAGCGACACTCAAAGATATTATGCAAATGAGTTTTTATAGTTATAGAGTTGCAGAGATAATAATAAAAATGAATTATCTATGTTTCATCATCACATGAAAGTGATTGTAATAAAAAAAATACCTGCACCAAATTCATCCTCATTGGTCTCCAAGGTGTTTTTAAAAAAGACATTGGGTTATTATTACAAGAAATGTGGCACTAAGTGTCATTTCATTAACAGTGGTTACCATTAATCATTAGCAAAACAATAAGAAAATAACATTTAATGTCAGTTTAGCAATCACTAACAAATAGAATTATTTTAATGCTAATTTAAGATAACCACTGACAACAATAAAGAATTTAGTGTCCATTTTATGTAACCATCAACAAATAAATGCATTTAAATGTCAATTTCAGATAATTGTTGACAAATAAAAAATTTAACATCAGTTTTATGTAACAAATAGACGAATTTTAATGTTCGTTTGAGATATCTGCCGATAAAAATAAGGAAAACAATATATAAAAAACACAACTAGTTCCTTTGTAGATGTTCTCTATCACCCACTTAAAGCTACCCTTCACCCCTATCTTGGCCTCATAATTGAGTTTCACTACCACCCTCCTCTCTGCCACCACCTTTAAAGTGTCTTTTTCAATAATGACAATCAGTTTCTAGTAACCTTCTACTATCCTTTTCACTTCCTCCGAATGGCTCCCCTTCAACAACTCCACACTATTTATTATATAATATACACATTTTAATGTTAAAAAATGAATGTAATGTGAACTCAAATAGCAAAGGAAAGAAATGAGCAAAGGATGCAAAAGAACAAAAGAAAAATACAGAAGCCAAAATTTAAATAGGGTGGTGCTCTTTTTATCATGTGTTTTGGCATTCAAATTTCAAAATTTAGCAACATTTTAAAACTGCTACTAAATAACCACCACAAATTTGGTTTTGTGTCTCTTA